GTAAAGGTGCTGGACTCTTACTTCTCGTAATAAGGGGTCTAAACCTGATAATTTCAACATTAAAAAAACAAAAGGGTGGTGCGTGAAACAAGAACAAGGAAGAGTTAGCAGGAGATACACCGATGCTTAATCGTACACTTCAAAACGAAATTGAAGAGTATGTATTGAACTGCTAATTTCTACTCTTTATAGGCCTGTAAACGAACTGAACGAACATGAAGAGGGTATATTCATCTTCGTTCGTTTAACTTTAACCGAACAAACGAACACGAACAACTAAACGAACAAAATTTGTTGTTCGTGTTCGTCCCTTAAGGAATGTAGCGTATTCGTGTTCATTCATTTTCGTTCGGTAAAATGATAAACGAACACAAATGATCGCAAATGAACAAACAGAAATATAAATGTAATTAAACGAACGTAAATAAATATAAATGAACAGATTACCGAATGTTCACGAACGTAAATTAACGAACAAGCCCTTTGTTCGTGTTCACTCCTTTAATTAAATGAATAGAAAATCTTGTTCATTTTCATTTGTTTAATAAATAAAGGAACATAAACAAATTTCCCGCCAGATGGTTCACGAACTATTCGTTGAACATTCGGTTCGTTTAGAAGCCTAATTCTATAGAACAGAAGCAGTATTGTTAAAGGACATATGAGCATTTTGGCCAAGAAATATGCTACTAGAAAAGCTATGTTGTAAGAGAAGCAAAATATACATGAAGCGGGAATTTCATAGTTTGATTAGATATAAGGTATCAGGAACTGGGTAAGCAGGATTTAGCAGCTAAACATACAATCAAAAGATGATAGTAATAAGAAATTACAAAGAGATTCAAATAGACGAACGCTTCCCGGCGTTAGAGTCACTATTTTGCGTTTTCAACTCTTTTTATAGCCAATATCCATAGCAATTGGCTGCGTTAATATTCATTTAGTCTACAGGCACGATGTGATCGAAAATGCATCGCAGACTTGCAGTTAATATTTAAGAAGCGAGAAAGAGAAAGCAAAAATAGTAACCTTCTTTTCGGGAGGAAACTGATTGACCTTCAAGTACATAGCAGCAGCAAAAGAAGACGAAAATATCTCATCCTACGAATACAGAACAGTCAGACAATTAACAAATATTATAAACTAACCTGAGAAACAGAAAGTCCGAGAGAACGAAACTAGTTAGCATATTGGGGTCTTGACTTGGAAGAGTTGTTGGTCACAAATACCAGCTCCTTCCCCTTTCAATCAAGGCACGATATTATGAATTGCTACTATTTCACAAGGATGAACCGTAAATACGATAATTAAATGGAAAGTTAATGGGCAAAAGAGAGTCTCGGGAGTTCCATCGATCAGCTTATCGCCCTTCCAAATAACGCCTGCAATCGCATCGCTGCTTGTATTCATTGCAAAATCAATGGGGGGGAAGCAAAACGGAGAAAATATGAGAATGAAAGAGTGGGAATGGAACCATCGCAATCGAAGAGAAATGCATCGACGGAATCCAGCAGTGCTTTTGCGTTGACGCCGCACAGTAGCTCGTCGGTAGAACTTGAAGTGGGATTTGAATTTGTAGTCTCCATTGCTCGCTTCAATCCTTGTTCCATCAACAAATCACCAAGTCAGTAGAGTTGCATGTTAGAACTGTTTCCAAAATCCATCCGTCAAAAAGATTAAAAAAAAGTAATAGTAGCAATAAGAATAAGAATTTACGAGTGTGGAAGAAGTATTTCTTGAACAGAAGGTGTACGCAACCAACAGCTGATTTTTGCCAAATGCCAATGCTTTTCTTTCACTGGCAGAATCACCCATTCAGGCTTTAAATTCCATTTAGGTAATTGCAGTGAATATTTTGTGTATTGTTGATAATTATCGATATTTTTTTTTTGATATGTACAATCAAAATTAAGCTATATTCCAATTGTTACATAAAGTTAAGTTAATGCTATCGTTTCTATCGATGAACCTATTATTAAGAACAACCCCAACAATCTTCTTAACATTGTTGATGATTTCATTGGTGCTTCGGCTTTTCCCCGTAAAAATCCTTCGATTTCTTTCTTCCCAAATGATGTAATTAAGCCTACACCAAGAGAGTCTTAGAACAGTTGAAATCAAAGATTTCCCCTTCCATGAGGTTGCAGCCCATTCCAGCAAGCTGGACCAAGACGAGAAGGACATGGAAACCGGACAGGATGAGCAGAGAGGTCCAAATAGATATTGAAAACCTGCAATTGCAGAAAAGATGGTCTCTTGTTTCGATTCCATCATTACAGAAGATACAATCAACGTTAGAAAGTAACCCGAATCGATGTAATCTGTCCTTGGTAGGAAGACGATCCAGAATGAGCATACAGGAAATAATACTATGTTTCGGTACATGGAGAGAAAACCAGATCAACTTATGCCATATGACTTTGTTGTTTTTAGGTCGAATCTCATTCCAAATTTGCGTAGTGTTAGCTGCAGAAGAAAGCAAAACAATCATGGCTATGCTTCGAGTTTTCAGAATTCGTTTAAGAATCCAGCTTGAGTTATGTGGTTCAAACATAGTCCAAAAGTCCTTGTTCTTGATGTAATTAATTTGAATCCATGCTACCCAAAGAGAGCCTTCACCAGCAAGGAGTTTTCTGGTAAGGTGAATCAAGCTCACATAATTCCAAGTTTTAATATCCTTAAGTCCTAATCCACCTTCAGACTTTGGTTTACATATTTTACTCCAACTCACCCTTGCTCCTGAAGCTTTTGTATCTGAGCCTTTCCAAAAGAATCTTGAACATAATTGTTCAATTTTTTTATTATAGAAAGAGGCAAAACAAGTTGTCGACACCAAAAATTTACAATGCTATAGAGTACAGTCTTGACAAGCTCCACCCTGCCCGCATAAGTCATATTCTTTGAAGACCATTGGTGAAGTCTGTTAGTGATGTTGTCAATAAGAGCTTGACAATCCTTTTCGGTTAATTTCTTTGTGACCAGAGGAACACCCAAGTAACGAACAGGTAGTCTTCCTTGTTTAAAGCCAATAGAATTTATAATTGCTTCAAGGGTATTATGAGATATGCCAGCCGCGAAGAGTTCACGTTTTCCGGCATTAAGCTTCAGTCCAGAATATTCATAAAAGTAGTCCAAGACTGTAGTGACTCCCAGAACAGACTCGAGCTTACCCTTGCAGAAAATTAGCAAGTCATCTGCAAAGGACAGATGAGTTAGTCCAAGGTTTTTGCATTTAGGATGAAAAGAAAATATCCCTTTAGAAGCGACAGTGTTGAGCAGATGGGACAGAACATTCATAATAAGAACAAATAATATAGGAGAAAGTGGATCTCCTTGTCGTATCCCCTTTGCACCTTTGAAATAACCAACCAAGCTTCCATTAAAGGCAATAAAATATCGAGCATTCGAGAAGCAAGCAGTAATCCAGTCAATGACTTTAGGTGGAATATCCAAGGCTTTGAGAACAGCCAAAATGAAATCCCAATTAATGGAATCAAAAGCTTTTTGAAGATCAATTTTTAAAGCACATCTTGGTGATATCGATTTCCTCTCATACCCTTTGACAATTTCTTGAGCAAGGAGAGTATTATCAACAATACTTCTTCCTTTAACAAAAACAGATTGATTAGAGACTATAATCTCTGAAAGCAGAGGGGTTATCCTATTGACAAGGATTTTAGTAATAGCTTTGTAAATCACTGAGGAGCATGATATTGGACGGAAATCAGAAACCTTACTTGGATTTGGCATTTTCGGAATTAAAGCAATAGTGGTCGAATTGAAAGCTGGATAGATAAAAGATTCCTGAAAGAAATATTTAACAGCCTTGAGAACATCATTACCAACCACATTCCAAGCTTTTTTGAAGAATAAAGCTGAATAATTGTCGGGCCCCGAAGCCTTATCATTGCCTTGACTGAAGATGGCTTCTTTTATCTCCTCATTGGTAACATCTTTAGTAAGCATTTCTTTGTCATCCGAGGAGGTAATAGGGTGAACCAAATCTTTAAGAATAGGATAGGGCAAGCTTTGATATTAAGATCTGGAGATCCTCATAAATTTTTGAAGTAATCAATAATTTCTCCCGACATATCTTCAAAAGATTCAAGTTTATCCCCTTGATGATTGACCAAGACTCTTATAGTCTGTCTTTTGGTTTTGGAAGCAATGATCGAATGAAAAAAATTTGTACATCTATCACCTTCATTAATCCAATGCACCTTTGCTTTTTGTTTAAAAAACATCGATTCAACTTCTTGTAATGAGTTGAATTCTCTCTGCAATTCAAGTTCTTTCTCCAAGAGACCATCACCTCTTAAGGTATGAATTTGCTGTAGTTCAAGTTCAGCTCTCTTTTGTGCGACTTAGGAAGAAATGTCACTAAAATAGTCTTTGTTGAGTTTTTTAAGACTAGATTTCAGACGCTTGAGCTTTGTGAATAAGATCTTTGTTGGATTACCTTCAGTCTCCAAATTCCAGGAATGGCTCACAGTTTCCAGAAAGTTTGGATGGAGCATCCAACAATTAAAGAATTTAAAAGGTTTAGGTCTATTTGCATGGACCTCTTTACTTAAGTTCACCAAAGCCATGCAATGATCAGAAGAGTCCAGAGCCATAAATTCCACAGAAGATAGGGGAAAAATCAAACCACAAAGGATTGATTAAAACTCTGTCAAGTTTCCGCGCCAAGAAGTTACCACTTTGTTTGTTGCTCCATGCAATTATCGATATTTTTTGTATTTATTTAAAATTAGTAAAAAAAAGAATAATAAAATTATACATATCAATTGAATCTTTAAACTTATTTTAAAAGATATTAAAATTATTTTTTATTAAGTGAAGAGATAATTATATATTCAAATTCACATAAAATCAATAATATAAACATCTTTAATCTCTGGAACATATGTTAGATCTCTAATAAATCAATTTCTTGACTGTGGTATTATTAGTTTGAAGCAGCTAATAAACCATTATTAGGCTGGCAATTGGTCATTTTCTGTGAAGTGGGTTGCAGTGGAGCTTGAATTTTGAGCCCAATTAGCCCTATATATAAGTGTTGAACTCAGCAATTTACAGACCAAAAGCTCATTATCTGAATCAAAAGAGACATAGCAATGGAAAGATATCAACCCCCCAGTACCGGTCTCATTCACCTCTGGCCACTCATCTTGCTCATGGACATCATCACTCCCTCCAAGGGGGTCCTCAACGGCACGGAGCTTCTCGAGCAGGTGTGCAACCACACGTCCGACACCGTATTCTGTGTTACGACTCTTATTGCAGACCCAAATGCAGGTGGCCCGCAAGCCCTCGCCGGCGACCTCGCAAATGCTGCATTACGGTCAGCTCAAACCAAGGCCACCCACGCACAAGCCCTCATAGCCCTCCTCCTTCAAAATGCCACCAACTCTTTGGACCGTCACAGCCTCCAAATATGTCAAAGCAGCAACAACGAGGCCTTGTCGCAGCTTTCATCGGCTAACAACGAGTTCAACTCCGACTCACTCGACTCCATGGTGGGACTGATGAACGGTGCTGCCGGTGTTACAAAAGCTTGCCTGAATGAGATCCAAGGCAGAGGCCACCACTTTTCACTTCTGGCCGCCGTTAATGCTGACTTGATCAAACTTTGCGAAATTTGTATTGTATCCACGAGATATTTCACTATTGAAGATTTGTACTAAATGACTTCTAGTTATGTTAGTATTGTGATCTCTAATGATCTATTTTGCTGCTACAAAACCTAATACATATGAAAGTACAAGAGGTAGTGCCAAACTTGATGGGACCAAAGGCAGATGCATGCATTCACGGGCTAACAGTTTTGGTTCTTTGGGAATTAAAAAGAAGCAAAATATATGGGTTTTGTTTTGTCTGTGTTTGTTTAACATGATGCGTCGGTCGAAAGCAGTAGTGTGGGTTCCAATGATTTTCTGATTTTGTCTTGTTTTAGCCTTTCACCACGTGAAAACATCGGGGTCCATAGCTCAGTGGTAGAGCATTTGACTGCAGATCAAGAGGTCATCGGTTCGAACCCGGTTGGGCCCTTTTTTTATTATTATGTCCTTTTTTTTGGGGGGAAGACTTTTATCACTTATCTAAAATCGTAAACGAAAATCAGTCTACGAATACAGTAATAAGCTATTCCAAATTTTGTTCATATCATAATAAAGCAGCCACTTCTCCTTAAAAGGTTTGCTTAAAAAACATAGGATGGCAGGTGATCCTTTGTAACATCCAATGGTTTATTCCTATAGGTTTATTTAGCATAATAAAAACCTATGTTTAACAACAAATCAATAATCCAAGCCACAGAAGACGCATAACACTCCATATATTTCAAAAGTCATAAATTACACCTAAATTATCACATTTATTAATGTCATGATATAACAAAAGACTAATAATACATTACCTTGCTTAAATCACCAATGGAATCCTTGAATCAACTTCCTCTAACCTTCTCATTTATTCGAAAACTGTTAGCATAACATTTATTTATGTATGAGCAAGAGTTTTATAATCGTTTAATAAACCAACGAATATGTGCTCGATTTGCTTATATTCACAAATATTTGAAACCTCGTTTATTGGCTTGTTTGTAAGCTTGTTATCGAATCGTTTATTGGATTCTCCTTTTCCTTCTACACCTTTTACGTTTTAAATATTGATGAAGATAGGGAATAAATTGAACAAATGGTAAACATTGGAGTTAACTGTGAAGCCCAAGGGGTTTAAGGACTTGTGACGTGATTTCACCATTTCTAAACATATAGATGAACATATTCTTGAATATTAAACGAATATATTGGTGAATGTCGAACAAACATATTGAGGACCACATTCGTGAACGCTAAATAAATATGTTTGTGAACATTAAACAAACATATTCGTTCAAATTCGATTCATTTACATTCATATTTATAATAAGTAAATAATGATAATAGAAATAATATATAAAAGAGTAAACTACACCAATGGCCACTAATGTTTGAGTGAGTTTTGTTTTCCCCACTAAAATTTCAAAAGTAATAAATCGATAACTAAAGATATTGATTTGTAATAAAATGGTCACTAACGTTATCTATTTGTAATAAAATGGTCACTCTACTGTCATCTCCGTTAAATTGATGATGTGGCAACCTTAAAAAAAGTTAGTATTTCATTTTTACCCCTAAACTAGTGCTAAAATATCAAATTGTTCATTGAACAATGATTTTATATCTAATTTACCGTAAAAAGTTTCCAAATTTTCATTTTTTTCTAAACACCTCATTACATTCACTATATTCGAACCACGTTCCTTACAAAACGGAAATCACACATAAACAATTAGGTGCACTTTTCTTTGTATTTGTTTCAACCACACTTAAACAAAACCTAAAAGTATAAATCAATCTTCAGCTGCAATATTCTTATCTTGTAGTGTTGCGTTGGAGTAAAGTAAATATTGGTGTGCTCTATTCTTTCTTTAGCACTTGATTTTCGGCTCGTGGGTTACTAGTCGTTTAAAATATATAACGAAACAAAAAATAACAGAATGGTTCACTCTTTTTTGCAACTAAAGATAAGGCCACTTATAGTCTAAATATAGATGTTTTGTTTAAGTGTGGTTGAAACAAATACCAAGGGATTTGCTCCTAATTTGTTTAAGTGTGTTTTTCGTTTTGTAAGGAATGTGGTTCGAATATAATGGATGGATGGGGTGTTTGAAAAAAAAAATGAAAATTAGAAAGCTTTTGGGATAAATTAGATATAAATTCATTGTTCAAATACCTATTTGATGTTTTAGTCGTAGTTTAGGAGTAATATGAAATATTATCCTTTTATTAACATTGTCACATCACCAATTTAACGGGATGATGGTAGAATGACCATTATGTTATAAATAGATAACATTAGTGACCATTTTGTTACAAATTGATAATATTAGTGACCGATTTGTTACTTTTGAAACTTCAATAGGAGAAACAAAAATATACTCAAACATTAGTGATCATTGGTGTAATTTACCCTATATAAAAATATTGAGTTGAAATGTCAATCGATTATAAATTTATTATCTTTTAAAAAAAGATTTTTAATATTTCTTGGACGACTATGCTCTACTTGGGTTGCCTGCTCTTAATGCATTGACTTCATCAACAACGACTTAAGAGCTCTACTCCAACACGTATTTAACGGCTTAGCAAATAATTGTAGGTGACGAGATTAGTTTAATTGAGAAATTCGAGGGTTGAAATGACTCACATTTTAATCAATGTGATATATTATTAATCCATAAAATAATCAGGCATCTCTTCAAATTGTTAATTCATTCACATATAAATGTCCTTTGTTTTTATATCTAATGGCATAAGGGGAGGTAAGATAATAGAATGTTCCCAACATTAGGTTGAGAGTAACTTTCGTAGAAGACCTTCGAATTATAAAATGTCCTACGTGAGACTCGATCCCACGACCTCAAGATTAAGAATCTTGTACTCTCCAACTGAGCTGGATAGTTATATATATGTTATATATAATTAATGAATTTTGTATCCCAGCTTACATTTTCCCCACGGATAATTTTATAATTAGGAAAACAATTGGGTTAATTCACCAAATTTCCTTATATTATGGGTCATGCTTTAAACTTGACCTTAAATTTCAGACTATTCCAATTAAATCCTCAAACTATTGTATCATTTAAATCCTATGCTTCATCTCTGACGTTAAGTTGCAGTTCGATGGACTGATGGAACGACTTGGTTGGGATGAGAATTTAGTTTTTAGGTTCAAATTTAATTAGTAATTTAGAGTGGGACTCGAGGGATGTCTACTGTAATTATTCCAATATGAAAAGTATGTACTATGATTTGAAAAACAATTTGATGGAAAGCATAAAGAAATGGCAGGCAACTCTTTTTGTCCATGAGTATTATAAAAAGGAGTAAACTACCTATTTGATCATCTACATATTACTTAATTTTTATTTTGATCATTAAACTATTACTTTTTTATAATTATACTTAATGTTATATATGGATTCTATTTTGATCACTCAAAATAAAAAATTAAAGGTGATGCTGACATAACGTTTTTCTTATTTTTTAATATTGATTTGGCTTTATCTTGTGATGACATATAAGTGACCAGAACAGAACCAAACACGTAATAATGGATATAATTTTGAAAAATATAATAGTTGAGTGACTGTAAGAAATATTAAGTAATAGGTGGGTGACAAAATAAGTAGTTCACCCTATAAACAACCGAGTCTAAACCAATTACGGTTTGATTACGAACAGCGAAGGCTCTTTGCCTACACTTGATAAACCTTTCTAAAACAATCGTCTTCCTTTTTCTCTCGTCCAAAACCAAAAACAGCACCGTGGCCATGGCGGTGAGGTCAAAGCAAGATCCCTCTCCTGCTTTTGTAGAAACAATACAAGAGATCATGAGACTTTACAGATCCCTGCCGCCAAGGCCTTCAATCGGGGAGGTGGAAGCAGCCAAGTCCGTCGTCAAAACTGTCGAGAACGAAGAAAAAATCAAGCTTGAAGAGATCTCGAAAGAACAACCCCCTGAAGATGTCCCTGGGGAACTCTTCTCCGTCCTAAAACAGGTGAAAAAGACTATGGTGTTGTTTAACAGCCACGAGCAAAAGAAAGAGGCCCTTCACTTGGTTGAAGCTGACAAGATGTTTGAGACCTTCGATGGGTTGATTCAGAGGGCTTCTTCGCTGGTTTCCGGGGAGGCCCAGGATGAAAAGATTACTACTTTCGGGGAACAAGTAAGCAAATTCGATGGAGAAAGTGTTACTACTGATGACAGTTTGGTGAAGAGAAAGGAAGATGGTGAATTGGATAAAGATGGTGCTAGGGGTTTGGTTAGAACTTCTTCTGCAAAGGCTTCTTTCTTTTCAGGTAAAGCACATAATTTCTTATAATTTTTGGGGAACTTTAGTTTCTCATGAAATTCTGCAACTTTATCACTGAATTATGTATTCAATTTGAGGATATAGTTTAAACCTATGTAGGTGGTTTTCACTGTTCAACCTAAGTGTTTCATGGTGAAATGAAATAAGTTTATTTGAAGGATTCCAGCTTTAGATCAGAAAGGTCAAATATGTAGGTGCATTTTCTTTATTTTTTTAATTTTAGAAATGATGATTGTTTTTCTTCCTAAGCTGAGTTGAGTTGCGATGACTGATCATTTTCAAGTTATATTTTGTTTTGGTTGAATTGAAAAGCTGGGATTTATTTCTTAAAGGGAAAGATCATTAAAATAGGTAGATATAATTGATAGGCTAGGAAAATGCAGTCCTAAATGAAGGCTTTTGGTGTATTTGCAGGTGAAAATAGCAGTGAAAAACTAAACCTAATGAAGACAGCAGCGCTTATCGAAAATACTGCTAGAACAGGAGGAGTGGTTCTTGATCTTAGGGGCAAGTTGATGGACCAGATTGAGTGGCTTCCTGTATCGATTGGGAAATTAAAGGATGTAAGCGAATTGGACTTATCTGAAAACCGTATTATGGCGCTCCCACCCTCCATTGGTGGCCTTCAGGCCTTGACAAAGCTTGATCTTCACTCGAACCAACTTATAAACCTCCCTGATTCAGTTGGGGAACTTGTCAATCTAATAGAGCTTGATCTCCGTGCGAACAGGTTAAAGTCACTGCCTGCTACTTTTGGGAACTTGACAAACCTCATGAATCTAGATTTGAGTTCTAACGAGTTCACCCATTTGCCAGAGACAATTGGAAATTTAAGCTCTTTGAAGAGACTTATTGTCGAAACGAATGAGCTCGAAGAACTTCCTTACACAATAGGAAATTGCTCTTCTTTATCAGAGTTGAGATTAGATTTTAATCAGATAAAGGCTCTTCCCGAGGCGATCGGGAAGCTCCAATGCTTGGAGATTCTTACTGTACACTATAACAGGCTCAAAGGGTTGCCGACAACAATGGGCAACCTTTCCAATTTAAAGGAGCTTGATGTAAGCTTCAACGAGATTGAATTCATTCCCGAGAACCTCTGTTTTGCAGTAAATCTGAGAAAATTGTATGTGGGGAAGAACTTTGCAGATTTAAGAGCCTTACCGAGATCAATCGGAAACCTTGAGATGCTTGAAGAGTTGGATATAAGTGACGACCAGATCAGAGTTCTACCAGATTCTTTTGGATTATTATCGAAATTGAGAGTTTTTCGGGCCGATGAGACTCCATTGGAAGTTCCACCAAGAGAAGTAATCAAATTGGGTGCCAAGGTAAATGCTAGTTTGATGTCGAAATTAACTTGCAGGGGATCTTCCCTGTTTAGTTCTTATGAGGTACTAACTTACTCGTGTGTTCATCATTAGGCTGTCGTCGAATACATGACTAATCTGGTGGCCAAGAGGGATACCGTGTCGGCACCGGCGAAGAAGGAGAAGAGTTTATTCTTCAGGATCTGCTTGATTTGCTGGCCATTCCGAACTGCGAATGCGGAGAACGGGTAAGCTGTGAATGTTCTACTATAAATGTGTTATCCTGTATATAGATCAAAACGTTTTGGTCTGTTTTCAAGATGTGTTGTAAGTCAGTGTAAATTATGTGTGTTTCCTGAGCCTTACTGCTTTCAGGTTGTTTTCATTTTCAAATCCCAAGTGAAGAACTTTACAAATGTAAATCTTTTGGCGTCTCTTCTACTTTTTTGTGTGTAAATTTTGCTTCTAGTGCTGGGAACTTGGACACGAAAAAACATGTGTGAACAGGTGGAATGGAATTTAGTCAGAACATGTTTAGTTGTTCCATGTGCCTTCTTCCATTCTAAATTCTCTGATTTTTTGTTGGGAAGGGTTGAATTTTTAAACTTTTAGGGAAATCCGAAGTGATAAGATACTAGGATTTCGAATATAAAAGTATAAATGAAAAATACAAAAGATACTAGGATTTCGAATATAAAATTATCAATGAAAAATACAAAAGAAAAAGTTAAACTTATATGATAATCTAAAATTTTTAAGGAATGGCTACCCTCGATTATCTATTGGTTTATTCCTAAATATATCATTTTGCTTTCTCTTAATCACAACTTGATCAAAAGTTAAATCAGATTAAAAATCCCAGGACAAGAGCAATATGAATGCAGATCAATAATTGATGCATCAAATATCTTGAGGAATCATCTTTCTCAGAAAGGGGATTTTTCAAAATGTGAGAATGTCAAAATCAGTGGGCATTAATGAATCTGGTGTCAAACAGCAGGTTCTCACAGAATTTTCTGGAAAATCCCATTTCTTTCTTCTTGCTTACATTAATTGTCATACTCGATAGAGGATCATAGGTAGGGTAGCTTTTACAACAAGGCAAATCTAAAACATGTAACCTTTTTCTGTTTATTTGCATGCAAAAAGAAACCTTGAGTTAATTACTTATTTCTTCATATACTTTCCGGTTATAATTATTTATTAAGCTAAAATGAATAAAACACTTATATGTATATATTAAATAAATGTCTTCCTTGGCAAAACATAATGTCAAAATATTTGAGATCATACTGAGGGCAGCCATCACCCATGCTGACTTCTTCCATCTGCTAACATTCAAAGAATTAAACGCCTACAAATTATGCAGTGGATAATAGAGATGAGTCATCATAATCTCATCTAGGGTTGAATTTTGTCATTAGTTCTTATATTATATATAAATCATAGATTTCAACTTCATGCTCTAATTTAATCAGTTTCAGTCCTTATACTTTTAAATTTTTTGAAATTCCAATTGCGATCCAAATGAAACATAGACAAACTATTGGAACTTAAAACGACCAAATAAGATAATTGAACTCAATCTATAATTTACACTTCGTATAGAGAGTAATAGAAAATTTTGACTTAATACATCCAATATTATTATTATTTGAGTCAAGACCAAAATTTTAAAACTAAAAAAATACATAAGCTAAAACTGTTCAAACCAAGATATAAAAACTAAACCTATAATTTATAAATAATACATGGACTAATAGAAGAATTTGACCTTTCATTGGGTATATCTATGTTTTGATGTAAGACATGGATATCAACGATGATGAAACTAGAACTGAATATTGGGCCAAAAGATTAAAGACATAACAAGTATTTAATATTATTAAATTTGTGATCATGTATAATAATATTATGATCGTAACAAGTATTTTAGTCATAATTTTGGTCACTTTTCCATTCAAATATCACGACAGATATTAGATTTTTTTTTATTTATTATACGACACATGTTAGATGATATATGATATCTTGTCTTCCAAGAAACCAAGTAATATTCAGAACGTGCTATTATAACGTGTTAATTCATCATATGTCCATAAATTACGACTCTCATTTCAAATTAATCCTAAAACTTTTAAACATTTTAATTTCATCCTTAAACTATTACTCTCATTCTAAATTAGCCCTTAAACTTTTGAACATTCAAATTCAATCCCCAATCTATGAATATCATTCTAAATTGGTCCCTAAACTTTTAGATCTTTCAATTTCATCCCCAAATTCATCCAAATATGCAATCCATTTCAACCATAGTTTAACCTAATTTTTTTTTGAAACATATAATGATATAACTTGCCTAATCATTTTATTAACAAGAGATGTGATTATTATATATGAATAATTTAGGATAAAATTGAAATATTCAAAAAGTTTGGGACCAATTTAGGATGAAGATCATAATTTAGGGATGAAAATGAAATTTTCAAAAATTTGAGCACTAATTTAGAATAATAGTCATAATTTAAGGATGAAACTAAAATGTTTAAAAGTTTAGGGACTAATTTGAATTGAGGGTCTAAATTGGGCCCATATGATGCAACTAACTCTTTTAAAATTAAATTAGGATCAACTATGATTTTAAGAAAAACTATTCCAATTATCGAATTTTAAACAATCATAATTTTTCACCAGCCTTTTTTGTTTGGCAAATTTATTTTATTAGTATTTTGTATTTGTTATCATTGGTTTATTATTTATTTAACTTTAAAATAAATTTCAATATCAATATTTTATAAACTTTTATAATAATTCTTTTATATTAATTAAAATAGGTTGAGATAATTATAAACAAAATATTTAATTAGAAAATATTAACAAAAAACTATTCAGTATTGTATTTTATAAAATTAAAATCATATTTTTAACATTTAGTTTAATTAATTTTAAATTTGTCTTAAAAATTGAAATTTCATAAGAAATTTCTGACAAAGCTCGATTATTTTCCACAAGTTTTGATTTTGTGTCGGATAATGTTGGGATTAAGCACAAGAAAAACGTTGATTGATATTTAAGGAAAAGTACACAAATATTTTTTAGAATATACACATATATATTAATAATATAAAATATTTATACAAGAATGTAATACTCGAATTTTATCAGGTCTATCGTTCATAAGTTTTAAACATATTTTATTGAAATTGATTTTGAAGTTGATACATCATCTCAATTGAAATGAATTTTTAGGCAAGATTCGAGTGTTCTCAAGACATGATTTCTTCTTACCAACGGGGTTGATTTAATTATTAAGTAGTTTGATATCACTTAAGAAAAGTCTCAGGTTCGAGCCATTGTTATGTAAAAAATCTCCTCTTAGAGACTCACCCTCCAAAGCTAAGTGTGCGAGCCGGTCAATCCATATTAATCAGGGCAAAGCCATGGAACTGAAGAGCAACAAAAAAAAAAAGACATGATGTCTTCTTGAATTATGATAAATTTTCACTTGGTTTTTCAATGCATTTTGAGACGCCTCAATCGGACATCGAGAACTCAAGATGTATTTCTTTTCGCGAAGACAACACGACAAAAAAATTAATATGGTTCGAATACGAGATTTTTAATTTATTACGAATTTTTAGTTATTTTATTAATTATTTGTAATTAAATTAAATTTTAGGCATTTAGATTAATTACTATGTCAAATCTCATTAAACTCGTTATCATTCATTTTTTCTATTTTTTATTTTTCACAACTCTAATTTATTTTATTTTACAGTAACAAAACTCAAAGCTAAATAATTTGATTCTTTTCTTTAAATTTTGGTTTAAACTTTAATTTTCTATATTAAGACAACTTGTAACCGTATTGGCACTAAAAAGGTAATGTGGGGTGCTCATCCTTTCCCACATGTAATCGATTCTCAAATCATTCCAAGTGAATTTCTAATAAGACGTAGTTTCGATAAAAGGTAAATTTTAAGTATATGATTCTACATAATCTGAAAAGATCGGTGAAAACTCGAAAATGTAAAATGATTCACTTAAGTCGTCTAGTGTGGGTTATTATAGGTGGATTTTTCTAGGAATAAAACAAATTGATCTATTTGTTACCTCTTTATTTAACTATTATTATTTTTGGATATAAGTCATTAGTCTTATTAAAAAGTGAATATATATCTAAAATTACAATAAGAGTTTACAATTATCATTAGAAACTAAATAAATAATCTTAACATTTTCCTATAACATTGAATCCAGTTACTTATCAAATTTTTTAATCGGTTATTAAATCAGTTGTTGTATATATTTATAATTTTGTTCCTTATCATATTATAAATACAACTTGATAATATTTATATTTATATTTTTTTATGATACTTCTAATACCTTGTGACATGTGTAACATAATTAATCTTTAATTTTATATCATATATTATTATCACATTATAAATTATATTCGCTTCTAGTTATAGATTTTAACCCAACATAAAACAGTGAAATTTTGCGTTGTATTTTTCACCAAAATGGACCGAGAAGGCAAGACCAACTTCTTAATTTTACAGAAAGGAGAAAACTTTAAGTTTCTTCTTCTTCTTCTCCCTCTCTCTATCTTTTCATAGGGAGAAAATGAAAGCTTTCGGTTGACATTTAGTCCCTAAGATGAACTGATAAGAAAATAGTAAAAGAAAGAAAGTCATTATAACAACTTCTACTTTCTCTTCCATTCTAAACTTAACCCTCTCTCTCTCTCTCTCGCGGCGTCTCCACTTCATATGCAAATTGAATAGGTTGGTATGTGTTTGCCTCACTTCGTAATACTTAAAGTTCAAATGAATTTCTTTGTTCATCAGGTGTCCACTAGCTTCTGTTTTTGTTTGCATGCATCCATTTATCACCATCTTATACGGTTCTACAAGAAAAGTTCCCAAATTGGAAATTAAGCACTTTTAGTTATACAATTCTTTTACTCTCTTTCCCTCTTCTCTTTCACTATTAAATGTTATGTAGTTCATTCTGATAACAACTTTTAGCCATGTTATGAGTTTTGTCAGTCTGCAGTTCCTAAGTTTACTGTTTTTACTTTTTGTGAACATGGCAAGAATGGGAAAAAAGGTTGGTGCTATCTGTTTTGAAGCCAGTGAATCATTAGATCCTGGAAAGGAGAATTTACTTGTGTCTAATTTTACAATGCCAGTTCCTCTTGCTCCATATCCAATTCCTCCAGGCTCATATACTACTCCTGGCAATGGTATCTTGTTCTGCTATGCAATACATTTATCTTGAAACAATTCGAATTGTATTATTGTTTAGTTGCTCAAATGAAGAACCTTCTTAAGAAACTTGATTAGCTGCATCCAATAAAGAGATAGGAGTATTAGGCTTGGCAAAGCAAAATAGATTTAAATCTATGTCAGCAGGTGCTCAAAGCCAGCTTGTATGTTCGGGATGTCGAAATCTATTACTCTATCCGGTTGGAGCAACCTCAGTATTTTGTGCTATTTGCAATGCAGTAAACGCTGTGCCACCTCCTGGTATATCATCTGCTATTTACTTTCATAACATCTTTAGCTTATATGTTTCAAGTTATTCCCTTATCTGTTACACGAAAAAACTGGGTGAAAATGATTGAAGGCAGAGAAATGGCCCAGATGGTTTGTGGAGGTTGCCATACATTACTAATGTACATTCGGGGAGCCACAAGTGTTCAATGTTCATGTTGCCACACTGTCAATCTGGCCCTGGAAGGTAACTACGATGCTTATCTCTCTCAAAGCAAACCTTGTCGATTAAAAGCTTCCTTCGTTTTCGATAGCAAATCAGGGGGCACATGTAAATTGTGGGAACTTCAGGATGCTACTAATGTACCAGTATGGAGCGCGATCCGTAAAATGTGCAGCCTGCAGTTTCGTCACATCGATTGGGATCAGTTCACACTATTTTGATTCATAAGGATACACGCTTCCTCTTAAAAGAGTACCATCTTTTTGAAATGTCTTTCACTGGATGATGCAGGGATCAGCAAGTAGTGCACCAGAACACATGTTCAACAGCTAGAAATAGCTTTACAGTTGAGAAGTTACAACTTTGGTTTTTCACATTACTATTATCCTTTTTTGTTTTCCGTTATGCCTGCGTGGCATGTTACTGAATAAGCAGCTTTGGCAGGTGGTTGGACCTTTTTAGGTTGAACAATGGATTATGTTATGATAAGATAAAGACTTAAATTTGCTTTTACTTTGCCATGTATGAGTGGCATTGAAGCTTATCTCCGATTACTTTTCTGCTGCATACTTGTCAATGGCTGAAGTCTATCCAATCTAACAAGAGCAATCACTCTCACAATCGTTGCAACCTCGTTTCACACACCAACTTCCATCTGAAATTGTTTTCAACTCTCTGTTTTTTAAGGAAATAAAATCCTGACAAGAACGAAGAAAATGCACTCTCAATCTCTTAAAATCAAGGAGAATTGGCTATCCTATAAAAACACTGGATTGCATCACAAGCTTCAACATTTTACTTTTAAGAGATTAATTATCCAAAATAATTTTAATAGTAATTTATATATCATTTTACCATTATATACCATTCTACCATATTAAGTCGGTCTCGTCTCAAGGCTGTTACTCAGTCATGTTTATCTAATATATTTTTATTTTGTTTTTATTACAATTCTATTCTACTACCTGGGCTCCTACGTGGCAGCAAAACCACCGCACTGCAATGCATGGTTGATGCGTGGCTATAACTTCTCATCTTGAACATTTATGTGAATAAAGAAGGCTGCTGTTATTAGCAGGGGGTGAACGTTGAATGAATAAGTTGAATAAAAAAATTTTGAGTTATTTGAATTGACGAGTCATATTTTATAGTTCGTAATTGATTTGAAATTTTTCGAGTCGAGTCAAGTTTGTATTTAAATTTAATCATCCATATTTATAATAGTATAATATTATTTGATTTTAATTTAAATGTTTTTATAATTATATACACTACATATATATATATATATAACAATCCATCCATGTGTGATTTTTTATAAAAAAAATATTATACATATATCTTTATTTCATATGTAATATACATATACCACACAGAATTGAGAGACTCGTCTTAAACTTGAAAATTCATCTACTAGTTACTAAAAATTTCGAGTTATATTTTATAACTAGATTTGAACTTAAATTTTTTTGAGTCGAGTCGAATTTATGAAATTATAACTTGAAGTCATTTTGAGTGAGTTTTTATCGAATCAATCAAAAAATCGATTTTTCGAATTGAGTTTTGTTCGACGCTAGTTATTAGAGTGTAGCTGAAATTAAAGAAAGGAACTGCATTTGATTTCAATCACTACAGTTTTGCAGCTAAAGTCTCGTCGAGAAAGAGAATGCAAGCAGTAAAGGAGAAGATTAGCAACATGAGCAGCAGCCCCAAGAAGCATGTCAACATCGGCAAAGTTAAAGTTGAAGAAAAGGTAGCTTTCCCTTTCAGTAATTTTTTTCACTATTAAAAGGAACAATAAGTTGTGACATGCATATTTTAATTGTCGCAGTTGGAGAAAGCAACGGCAACGACAGAAGATGAGAAGGAGTTGGCTCATGAACGTAGAAAGGCCAAGGAAGCTCGAGCAATGATGGAACAGCATCAGGATAAGGTCAAGCACTTGGAAGAGATGTTGACGCCTAAACAACCCCAATATCTCCCTGGCTATGGCTATGATCTTGACCATGACCCGGCACTTCAACCCGAACAAACCACGGCTCCTCCCTATCATCTTACGGCTCATCCTCCACCTCACAAGCATTCATAAGGGTTGAGACAAAGGCCCTACACATGGCCGTGGAGGGGTTCTTCACAAGTATTACCATCCTTATCATTTGTAGTCTTCCACGTTTATTTATAATGCAAATGTTTTTTCCCCTCTTCTCATTGAAATGGTCACAAACTTTTCCATTAAACAACGAAGGCAATAATGAGAGAATCCATATTAGATCATTCAACAAGCCACTAATACAGAATATGCCTTGATCGATGGAGCAAACGACTGCTAAACCAAAACCCTCTTTCAAATCTACTTCTCGTACACGATACTGATACAATGAAATGAAGATAGTTACCATAACATTTGGGAAAAATAGATTCAAAGGAAGATGATTAGTAGCACGCTTTTGATGCAAGCCCAAACAAAAAATATACCAACACTGTAATCTTCCTTGGTGCTCTACACACTGCTGCATTTACCATCATGTGACATGACTTGTGTCGTCAAATTGGCTGGCCTTGTACTATACTTCATTCGGAACTTGGGGAATGGCTTCTGCTCATTTTCTGCATAAATTGAAGCTGATGTTTCAGGCGAAACTTCATCAAGGAACTCATCTGCTACATCTCCATCTTCGTCCATCCTAAGACGCTTTGCATACCATTTTAGACCCTGCATCCAAAAATAGATCCGAAATGTTTATCGCTACTTGAAACAAATTTAATGAAAGATGTATAACGTAAAATATGTGTAGATAGCAAAAAGGGCGGCGCTTAACATGCCACAAATTCAAGTATTTTCATGTTAAGCAATTATGGTTTAGGCAACTCATTTACATGCCACTATGTATAAATACAGTAATACACAAACTCTTCTAGTATTTTCATGTTAAGCAATTATGGTTTAGGCAGATGACATTAATGGACTCAAACAGAAAGGTCTTCCAAAGTAGTAACGTTAGTTTTCTCTCGAGTAATAGCTATAATACATCTAGCTAAAAGAGCCAAAAGTCCTTCAATCCTAAAATGGAACAAAAACAATAATAATCTCTTTTCGTAGACCCAAAAAAGATAACAATATGATGAAGCATCCACATTTATTTAGTTGATCAATTATTACAGGAATATGAGGGAAACACAAAAGAATTGATCTGAAGTTCAAAGAAAAAGAGAAAGAATGCATCCATCCCTATGATTGCTTAGTTATTTTAAGGAAATAAGGAGATGGAAAAGGATGAATTTAAAAAGGATCGATAGTAAGAATGCAAGTTAAACAAAAGTAACGAGTTCCATGCATTAAACCTAAATTTAACATAAACAAGAATGCATTTCATGCAATAAGCATCAAACCATCAACTACATCTGGATCTTATCTATCCTTGCATATTTTCCATGAGCATAAGAAATAATAATGTGAAGAACACGGATAACTAACTTGGACCTAGAATGACCGTGACTCTCACAGCCTACTTTAAATAAACAGTTAACTTAAAACTTAACCCCATCATAACTCACAACAGAAAACATGCATGCCAGTTAACATAGGAAGCTTGATAACTTATAGACCACATATAATATCAGCAGCGAACAATTTGAACAGAAGCAGAAGTTTAATTCAGGGAAGTAGCATCAATGAATGTCGAGAACAGATCATTAGAAGAGAGGATTACACAATGTAACTAAAACACGATCTAGGTTTGCAGATAAATCCGAGATTGGGGATCTAATAGAACATTTTCAGAGTCCACTTTATGTTCAATTTCAGCACATTATTGTACGTGCTTAGTCAGGAAGAAGATGTCTGAGAAATGCCCTCTAGCACATAGGTCCAAAGAAAAAGAAAAAAAAATCAATACACCCAATATACCAAGGAAGAAAGATTATTGTAAAACTTTAAATGTCAGCTAACCTTAAGCTATTTACAACCAAATTTCAAAACTCATAGTTAATTCTTCCCTATATAAGTTCATTGATTTGTGCTTTCTTGTCTTGATTCCAAACTAATAACCAATCACTTACGCATAAAATCACCTTAATGAGTTCTAATTCTATTACCCAGAAGTCAAATCATAGCAAAAAGTAACCACATTCAACATTATAACAATTGACAATACATGAAGAAGGCATATCTTAAAACTTGTGAAACAAGACATTGAAGATACATTAAAGAAATTGAGATGGACCTGGACACCACCGTCACAAGAATTGCAGGGGAGGAGGACAGGACAGGATTGGGCGTTTCGTTATTGTTATTATCGTTGCTAGGGTCGTTTTCTTTGTCTTTCACTTCCTGGCCACCGTCTCCGGCAAGCCCCAGAAGCCCCGCTATTCTTCTAAAGAATCGCATAATCAAAGATCAAATGTTATTCAATTACCAATCAGATGAGCTCAGCTAAATAAATCAAATTCATAAGAAGAAAAAAAAAGAGGGCTTGACAGAAATTTATGGCTCGGGTCTGGTTCGTAGTGTAGAGCAAGCTCGAGCACCGGAGACGAATGGGAACGTGAAGAAGAGGCGAAGAAACGTCTATTTACATATATACGGAAAATTTCTCTAAGGATAGAATAATTTCTCTGCGGAAGTTACAAAATTCTCCGCGGAACAGTTGTAAAGTGATTTTTAATATCTCTTCTTTTATGGTAGCGGCGGTAGTCTTTATAATTATAACTTTTCTTGGCTTTTTTTTTTTAGATATCATGTCTGCCGATATTTTTAAATTCTCGATACAGATTTTTATTGATCTTTTAATTTTTTGCATACATAGTTAATAGTTTTCTCGATATCTGGTTTTTTTGGTCGTTTATACAAGATGTTCTGTTAGTTATCGTATATATATGTTGGATGAGATTATTGTTAAGGGGAGATGTTTTTTTCGTAAGTCATTTTGGTTCTTTTTCAAGTTTCTCTACTTCATGTTTAATGTTCGAAGCCGTGTTTTAGTTTATATACGTTGTTGCTTCACTTATTAATAATTTTATATATATCAGGCTATCTCTAAGTAATTATTATTATATTTTATTTTTTATAGTCACGACTGTATTTATTCAATTTGTATTTGACAAGACGTTTGTTGATACTAGTTTCAATTAATGAAATATTCTCATTATTTAAAAAAAAATCTCTCATTACATAATTAGTTACAGGGCTTAAACTAAAAAGAAATCTCTAAATTATATTTTTTACTCTCCCTAAACTATTTTCAGTCTTAATAAATATTTAAATTATGTTTTCTTTTATTTTAAGTATTGAATTTTTTTAATTAAAAGGAATATTTAATTTTGTAAGTCATGCCAATATTTCATCAGCCAAAATAATTTTCTTGACAAATAATGGTTGGACTTAAAGTGATTATATATTATATTTAAGAATTTATTTTGATCAAATAATTTAAGGATTTAAAGAGAGAAAACATAGTTTGAAGATTTTTTCAGTTTAATTCTTAATTTCAGTAAAGGATAATATGAGAAAAGGTTAAAATGTGTTGTAAGTTTCGGTAAAATTAGTTTTATAATCCAAGTGAATTATATATATTTGAGTTTTTATGGCAGCCCATAATTTCATTTGGGGAAAACTACGTATTTAGTTATCCACTATCATTTTGGTTTTGTTTTGCTCACTTAATTATTATTTTTTTTCAAAATTATACCTAACATCACATTTTGATTATGTTTTAAACTCCCGTCATTAACAAATTAACATTGTGTCATCATAGTAAGCTTGGATTGACATTATTAATAGCGGTAGTAACCAGGGACGGACGCATGACTTTATTTTTGACTGAAACTAAAAATTTGATTACTATATTTGTTTCAATCGATCAACTAAACTTCGATATTTAAATTACCATTTCTTGTATATGGAGTTGATAAAAGACTTTGAATTACTAAAATCTTGCTTGATATTTGGTTCAGTAAAAAAAAAGGCAAAACGATTTTCATTTTTTCGACCTCAATTAAAGCTGGAAGTTGTGTACTATAATGTCCTTCAAAATCTATAAATCAAATTTATCCAACTGAATAGTAATGTATAAGTTTTGGATTTAAACTTCAGTATTGGAAAATCAGGATAAGTAATACAGGAAATAACGAACAGTAAAGAAAATAAAAAATACATGATTTAACGAGATTCAACAGGATATATACGTCTGCGGGAACGATAAGTATATAAGTCATACCTAACAAACTCATCGAATACAATACATGTTGCTCTTCACATTGATGCTCCCCTACAAGTAAATAAAAGGCTTAATACACTTTTAGGTATTTAAATTATACCTTAAATTAATTTTTGGTATCTAAAGATTTTTTTCGTAAAATTAGGTGTCTAACGTTTCCAACGTTACACTTTTATTTGGCTGGGCCATAATGACCGTTAAATTTAACTGTTATTTGACACGTGTCACACATATAATTTTTTTTTAAAAATATTTTAAGTTAATTTGATGTATAATTTAAGTGCCTAAAAGTGTATTAAGCCAAAGGTGCCTTGAAAAACTTTTAGTGCCTAAAGAATTTTTCGTTAAAAATATGCGTATAACGTTTTTCCATTTGTGTTTTTAAGTGTCTATCATTATTTTTTAAAATTTTAATTTTTTAATAATAAAAATATTATTTTTTAAAAAGAGAATAAAATTTAAAAAAAACTTAATTTATTTATAAAAAACTCAATTTTTTTTACTGAAATTATAAAAAAACCCTAAAAAAATTAAATTTCTCATTTCAATCTCATTATCAACATTCGTTGATCATCTTCGACCATCATCTTATCGTCGAATGGTTGGGTTTTGATTAGAATTGCATGGTGGTTCGAATGGTAGTAGTGGTATGGCTTACGGACGTCGGAATAGATTGAAATTGACGAAAAATAACGATAGTGACTTAAAATTCGATAAACCTTTGAACGCTTCTAAATAGTAAACGGTGGAAAACTATGACGAAAGGTCAACAGGGGTTTGATCAGGGGCCAACATCAGTGTTGATGACGGCGACAATGATGGTCACAGCTGGCTGGCTGGCCGGTGGCTATAGAAGAGGAAGAGGAAAAGGGAAAAGGGAAGAGTAAGAGGGGAGGGGAGGGAGTACGGGATGAAGTTTGATTTTTTTTAGAAAAAAACATTTTTATTTTTTTAATTTTTTAAATAAATTCTCAAAATTATTAGAACGTGAAATGTATCACTTAACAGAGATTTTTAACAACGGTTAACGTTCAAGTATAAAAAATGTAATATTAAAAACACTAAATACCTATTTTTAGCGAATTCTTTGGATATTAAAACATTTTAAACCATAATTTAAACATTTATTTTTATAATAAATCTTTAAAAAAAAATATGGTCTGCACTTAAATATATAACTGAAAAAAATGTTAGAAACTTATTTCTAAGAGAGAAAAATGTCACCAAATGTCAAAATTCAATTGAAGCCTTTCCTTTTTTCCATTTCAGCAAAGCAGTTGTGAGAGTAATAACTCGTACAACTCTTGATGTCAAACTCTTTTTTTTTTCCTCCAACACTCTTTCGCAGTATCAGTTGAATTACAAATTGATTGACATTACGCTTGATCTCCCTTTTTAATTTTGCTATTTGATACCCGGAATAAACAGAGATTCAAAAGAAAATTGGGTCTAGAAAAAAGATGGAGTCGAGAGAAGTACAGGGTCGGGCAGCAACGGGGAGGATATTACAGCCACAGGAAGCGCAGCCCATGGTAATAGGACCCTCACCATCTTCATCCTACCCTTCCAGCTCCACCTTGATCAACTCTAATCCCACCGCTAATTTCCCTCCTCCTTCAGCTCACCGTTTCTCCTTCAACCCCTTGCTTCCCCGCCTTCGCACAATCAGCATCATTTACAACAGATCCATCATCACATTCAACAGCTATCCAAGCCGCTGGATTCTTTGAACTCCGTCGGCTTTGATGGATCACCTCAATTTCAGTGCAATACGGAGCCCGCCATGAAAAAGAAGCGAGGTAGGCCTAGGAAATATGCTCCCGACGGTAACATTGCTTTACAATTGGCACCCACCACCCCAATTGCTAATCACTGCCCCGATCACGGTGGTAGTGACTCCGTCGGTTTAGGCAGTCTTGGTGACGCGGTGGAACCTCCTCCTAAAAGGAATCGTGGAAGGCCGCCCGGTTCTGGAAAAAGACAGATCGATGCATTAGGTAATTAAGAGTTGAATTGTAGACGTTAATAGTTTTGTTTTTCTTTTTTAATTATGTGATTTGATGTTTAAATTTTGTGGGTTTGTTTCTTTGTAGGTGGAGTTTCAGGGGTGGGATTTACTCCTCGTGTGATCACCGTGAACGCCTGTGAGGTGAGTAATACATAAACTCATAGTGATTGGTGTTTTAGATGGAATTTGGGAAATATTATGTTTCTTAGGTCAGGCTTGACAATGTACGAAGTTTTCTTTGCCATAATGGATTTTTATTTGGGAATGATTAGTTTTTCTTATATTGAGTCTTCAAATGTTTTAAGCTGCCATGGAAGAATGGTTTCAACCCTTTGCAATGCAACTGAAATTATGGATATCGAAAATATTGCATAAAAGCAACTTCATCCTTTAATTGCTAAGCATAGCATCTTGAAGTAATTTAGATCTATTTCAGTGTCTGCACTCTGCACACCCTAAATAATTGTGTAGAGCATGTCGGTCCTAGCTTGAGTCATGGCATATTTATCCTTTTATGTGTTCTTTCAAAGATTCATTGATGGAGATTCTCCTCTGTTTATCTTCCTTGAATAGTATCGCCTGCCAATATACAACTATACCATTCTCTTTGCACATGTTCTGGATGCTCATGTTTGTAATTCTTGAATATTAGTTTATAATGTGCCTTTTTGCGTGGCCTGTACGTTTGCAGGATATAACTTCAAAGATTACAGCTTTCTCACAGCAAGGACCACACGTAGTCTGTATTCTATCTGCAAATGGTGCTGTCTGTAATGTTACACTCCGCCAGTCTGGTGGCATGGTAAAATATGAGGTACTTCATTAAGAGTTTCATCTGATAAATAAGCCTTTTCTTGAATAAAGTCCTCTGGCTCAGGACCTATGCTTAGGTAGTTGTAGGACTGCTTCCATATTTCCGGGGCTGCAGAAGTATAAACTTTCTGGAATTTTCTTTAATATAAACAAAAGGCATTTCATGTCTCTCTATGTTTTACTTGGTGTGTATGTGTGCACAATGAGCACACACATCTGTTCGTGTCGTTCTTTTTTTTAGAATAATTAATGTATTTTTGTATTTGTTAAATGCATTTTAATTTAACCTATTATAAGTCTCTTCTAGCATTTTAGGATGAGACCAAATGAATTAGTCCAAGGGAAACAATGTAACTTATTTAGTGTGATTATTTTATGTGGATATGGATTTTCTGAGATAGTGCTTCTCATATCTTATGTGTTTTTAGCTTAGTGGATAACAATGTCAAAATGAGTTTGGTGATTGTTGATTGTGAGACCACTATTAGATTGGAAGTTGTAAGGCAAATCCCTAGTTCAAATTTCATCGATGAAAAGAAAAAAAAAATAAGTCTCTTCTAGCATTTTAGGATGATACCAAATGAATTAGTCCAAGGGAA